GGCAGTCACAGCTCCTTGTGCTGGGCACTGAATCTGATGTTACACTTCAAAAAGGATGGAGAGGCTTTAGATGGGATGTTGGGCAGGAATTGCTGGCTGTGAGGGTGGGCAGGCCTGGCACAGGTGCCCAGAGCAGCTCTGGCTGCCCCTGCACCCTGGCAGTGCCCCAGGCCAGGCTGGATGGGCATTGGAGCTCCCTGGGATACTGGAAGGTGTCCCTGCCATGGCAGGGGTGGGATGGGATGATCTTTAAGGTCCCTCCCAACCTAAATCATTCTATGGTTCCATGATTATGAAAGAGAAATTGCAACTCTTTGGGTTTAATCATTCCCTTAAACCAGCACAGGCCGCTGTTCTTAACTGTGAGCTGCCCTCAGAGCAGTGCCAAGGACTCCTGCCTCTGATAATTGTAGAATTGTTCATTACAGGTGATCTCCCAGCAGAGGTTTAATGTGATGAGAAATATTCCTTAAATTCTGCTCTGGGTCTTGTGGTTAAACTGAGCCCCAGAGAGGTTTCTCCTCAGTAGAACTGATTCATTTCTTGGTCTGCTCTGGAAGAACTGTGTGCATGATAAAATCATACATGATCATCATAATTCCATATTTTACACCAAGCATGATCCCTGCTCCAGCATCAGTAACCTCACACCCATGATTTCCCACTTGTTCTGCACAGGGTAACATTTACAAGATTGTCTTGTAAGGTCTCCCTGTAACCCATATTTGCTGTGAACGTATCTGTAAAATTAATTTTGACACTATGAGAGTTTTTATTGATCTCTGATAAATTATTCTGTGGTTTGAATTAATTGAATAACTTTTTGTTTCAGCTTTGTACTTCAGGACATTAAAAAATACCCCAGAATAAAGCACCAAATGATGCTCAGCTGAGAATGTTGAATTTCTGTCCTGCAGAGAGTGGGGAGAAAAATAATTATTTGTTTTGCCTGTAATGGAAAAGTGTGTATAGTCTATGACTTTCTATAGATTTTTTTTCTTTTAGCTATAGCTTGAATCAAAGTGGATTCAGCTCCTGAAGCCTCCTAATGAGTCCCTTTTGCTTTTGGAGTGTAACAGGGCTCCTTTTTTTCTACTTTCTAATTATTCCATAAGATGTAATTTTAAGATGTTTACAGAAAAAACACACAGCTTTAAGGTTTTGTGCCTCCTCAGATTATCCTTGATCCCAAATTTTCTGTATTGCAGCATCTAAGACAATTTGCTTTTTTTTTTTTTTTAAATTTGTGAATGTTTCATAGAGATTTGTTATGGTGTGAGGCTCTTGAGCAGGGCTGAGTGTGCTCCCGGTATCCCAGGGTTACCCAGTCCCTCCCACAGACGAGGATTGCAGGAAGTGGTGCCAGGGATTGCTCTTGGTGATGTGGCAAAATGTTCCTGCTTAGGATCCACTTGATTTGCCTTCTATCTCCAAGTGAGCTGTAAAACTCACTGATAAGAAAAATCAAGCTCTTCAATTGGTAGCAGAGGCATGGACTGAAAAATAATCCCCTTGGGTAATTTTATATTTGATTTCAGGCTCTTGGCCCTTTGACTGTGCAGTTTTGCTCTTGTGTAAAACTCTCCTGTCACTGCTGTTGGTGTTCCAGAGACAGAGAAATTCATTGAATGATTCCAGCATGGGCAGCATTTGGCTTTGGTGCTCTGGCAGAGGCTGAAACCACTGGTGTGCAGAGTCCTGAGTTCATTTCTTCACTACTTACTCAGTATTTAAAACCCTAAGCAGCTTTTTTTTAAAAAAAACCTACTTATTGTGGTTTTGTTCTTTGCCTCTGGAGCCCGAGGTGGCAGCAGGGAGGTGCTGCAGTTCATTTCCCAGGGCTTGTACCTCAGGCTGTCCCTCAGCAAGGTGACAACATCCAACTGGCCTGGTCCTGAATTTCCTTCTGGACTTCTTTATTTCCTTCACCAAAATGCACTGGATCCTGTCTTGTCTTTGTAAAATACCCTGTTCTTTCCTTTCTTGGACAAGGAATTTTCATTCGTTTTGGCATGAATGTCCTCTCTTTAAAAATATTCAGAATAATTTGTTTCAAACAGAACAAACCAGGACAATATTGTGTGTAGATGCTGGCTCAGATAATGTGATTTAAACCTCCCTGAGCTCAGATTTTGGATTTCAACGTTGCCTTCTCCCATGTTTTGTTTCCACAGCCACCATGTCAGAAGGGGACAGCATTGGGGAGTCTGTGCATGGAAAACCTTCCGTGGTCTATAGATTTTTCTCAAGACTTGGACAGGTTGGTTTTGTGAAGGATTTTTCTGACTCCTTTAGAATCAGGTCTCACTGCAGCTTCTTGAACTCACTCCTTGTTGGCTGGGTTGTTGAAGTGCTGAAATCTATATAAAACATTTCTTTTAAAATAGATAAATACCTATAATAAATGATTTACTGGAAAATTCAATGGGCATATGTGTGACATTGCACAGTGAAAATATGTTGTTGCTGCCAGAAATGAGGAGTGAGTTCAGATTTAGTTTCAAATTCATCTTAACGGAAGCAATTTGCATAAAATACAGAAAATTTAAATTGCTTTACAAAATCCCCAAGCATTAGGGACTTTTTTCCTTTGTAAAAATATAGAAACTTAAAAGTACAGTTCTGTGTAATTTATTTGTAGTAAAGAATACAAGTGCTCAATGTTATTCTTTCCCAAAATACTCCTCCCAAATGCTTTCTTTTGCCCATACTACCCTCAAATAAGCTTTATCCATTGTGCATCAAGTATTTTACAGTGTTTATTATTTACTTTGTGTTTCCTGCAGATCTACCAGTCCTGGTTAGACAAATCCACCCCCTACACTGCAGTGCGATGGATTGTAACGCTGGGGCTGAGCTTTATCTACATGATTAGAGTTTATTTACTGCAGGTGAGAGCACTGGGCTTGATGCTGAAGTAGTTCCAGATATTGTTGCTGGTCTAATTTGGATTCTAGGAGTGTTTTTAAAGTGTGCTGTTACTTTAGAATCAGGTGTGCATGTGGCAGAAGGTAAATTGTGGAGTCTGAAGAGAGAGCACATCCTGTGGGTGTGGAAGTTGCTGATACAGAGAGGAAAATGTGTGACCACTTGAGGATATTCATCTGAATTCACAAAATAAATCTCTGGGAACTGTTGTAATTAAGTTTTTGCTTTTATATTAAAGCTGTATAACAACATGCTGAGAGCCAGGGGTTCCTTTCTGTCATGAAAACCACGAGCAATGGCTCTGTCAGCATTTCTCTCCCTGCAGGCAGGGACAGACTATTCCCCACTAATCAGACATTTCTGTGCCATGCCAGTCTGCAGCTCAGTTAACTTGGGAACTGTTAGTCCCAAAAAGTGAAGATTACAGAATTTGAAACCTTTACAGGTCATAGTAGTAGGAAAATTTCAGACCCTGAGGGCTGCAAAGATGATTAAAAAAAGGATGGTTTTATGCTTTTTACTACTTTTGAAGTCCACATCTTGAACATAGAGAAACTGGGTGCTAGACCATGGTTTCATGTTGACTCTGTCACTACATGAGAGATTTGCTGTCCTGTCATGTTCTAAAACTTGTTTTGATCATTGAGAATTGATATTTTTACAAGCCCAGAAACCTTTGGGTTAATATGAGGACATAAAAAAGCTTCTCAAGGAAGCACAAACCCCAGCTTGTTTAATCTTGTTAAAAATCAGTATCAGAGAATGGTTTTCAGGAGGATTTTGCCCTTGTCTGTTCCTCCCTGTGCAGGGTTGGTACATTGTGACATATGCCTTGGGAATCTACCACCTCAACCTCTTCATAGCTTTCCTGTCGCCAAAGGTAGACCCCTCTCTAATGGAGGATTCAGGTATGGGGAAAAATTCCTTTTAATTTCAAACTTAGTCAAATTTCCAGCTCCTTTTGTCTGATACTGTAGTGTAAAGATAATGCACTTTTAGCACTATATTGTATTTTTTAGATGTGAAAAAAATCTGTACACCTCAACATCAAGAGTTGCTCTAAATTTGTCCCTTTCATGGGGCTTGAATATATTTCATATTGTAATAATTTTCTGTGTTTTAAAAGGAGGTTTGTGTGACTTAAACTCTCCCCATAGTTACTCAAGTGGCCTGGCATTCCCTATTTTCTTTAAAAGAATCTATATTAAGTTTATTTTAAGGAATTTATGTGAATTTAAGGAATTTATGTTTAATTTAAGGAATTTAGATTAAATCAGCAACTCTTAACTGGGATCTATGTGTGACAATGGAAATTTGGTGTGGTTCTGTTTTGTGATTTTTATTTTTCCCTTAAGATAAAAAGTAAAAAAACCCCCAAAAACTGGGGTCTGAATAGTCTAAAAAATCTACTGTGAGGAGGTTTGTGGTTTGGTTTCTTTTCTGTTATTTTTAGATGATGGTCCTTCCTTACCTACAAGGCAAAATGAAGAATTCCGGCCTTTCATTAGAAGGCTCCCAGAATTCAAATTCTGGTGAGTGCATCCATCTGCCTGTGTTCTGGTTTTGAAAAATACAAATATCTGCACGACATTCATGGTAACTGGGCTTGAAGGATTAATTGTTACTATTATTTTTCAGGCATTCTGCCACTAAAGGAATCCTGGTTGCTATGGCTTGTACATTCTTTGAGGCTTTCAACGTTCCTGTGTTTTGGCCAATCCTTGTGATGTACTTCATTATGCTATTTTGTATCACTATGAAGAGGCAAATCAAGGTAATTTGGCAAGAACAGAGAATTTGTGATGTCAGGATTTACAGCATTGCTTCAAACTGGCCATCCAGTGAAGCCTTCAGGGCTTAAATGTGCTGCACACACTTATTTTACTGGAGGAACTTCAATAATTAATACTTGACCATTGATTGTGGGGCATGTTTTACAAAACTTTATTCTTGTTTCCAAAAGATTTTGACTTGAGAGTGCAGTGTCAGGGTTTTATGCAGGTTTTCATCCACTTCCTGTGGCTATTTTGGATGCAGAGGTTGAACCATTTCTGGTGGGTGAAAAGGGAACTTCTCACAAGGTGGTGTGAGGAAGTAGAAGGGGGAAAAGGGAAAGAACATAGGCAAGTGATTCAGAACATTTTAACAAATTTCTTATGGTTTGGTAGCATTAAAAAAAAAACCTAATTTTTTTCTTGTATATTCAGAATCTTGGCATGTACTGTGGTGCAAAGTGGCAAATTGAAGCTGAAAGGGTAGTAAATAATTAATTCCTCTGTGCTCTCTCCAGTTTCCCATGGTTCCCCAATCAGTAATCTTCACTGTAATGTACAATTTGTTGGGTAACCCAAAATCTGAGATTTATAAACTGCTCTCATACTCCTATTTAGATTTAAAAACTGCTCTCCTATTAACATTTGAACTGCTGTAGGATTAGCTATTTCTTTACCTTTACTAAGAATTCTTTTTCTGGAAGACTCAGTAATTTACAGTGTATATTAGAAACCATTTTTTCTAAATATTATATATCTTATATATCTTCCTTGTCTCAACAACTGCTGTTTTCTCTTTGCAGCACATGATAAAGTACAGATATATACCCTTCACACATGGCAAGAGGAAATACAAAGGGAAAGAGGATGTGGGGAAGACCTTTGCTAGCTAGGAAGAAGCAATCAACCTGTTGACCAATTCTACTGCTCACTAAAGGAAAGATTTTGAGCCATTGTAACAATGCCTTTTTTCTTCATAAAAGTGATTAACAGAGTGGTGACAAAGCAGTTGAATTTTCATTTTACGAGGATCTTGCTATTTTTATCTGAAATATCAGATTCTCGAGGAAACTGGCATTCTAACCAAATTGCATTGAGTTTATTCTCTTTTGTAAGAAGTTGGAGAAACTTTGGATAATCCCATGGATTTGGGATAACGTATTTCTTTCAAGATCTGTTGCACTGGAGAGGTTAATGGCCTAGAGTTGGATATTTTTACATAGTTCTCCTGCTCAACATCACCCTGAAGTGCTGTGCACATCTGTGGAGGAAAGTGTAAGCTGGCACACGTGATGCTGTTTTCTGCTTCATGGCCGTGTGCTGTTTTCATAGAAGAATTCAGTAGACCTAAATTAGATGCAGAACTTAAGCCAGTTTCCTAAATGCATGGTATTACTGAGTTATAACCAAACAAGTATAGATAGGAATAAGAAATTACTAAATTATGGGGTTTGCAGTAGGGCAAAAATACTCATTTAGCTTCTAAAGCAACTCGTTTGTGTTGGGTTTTAATGCCAGTTTCACTGTTCCATCTCCCAGCAGATGCTAAAATTGGGCTCTTTCTGATGACTCAGAACTTTGTTCAAACTCTATTACAATTTCCTTTGAGGACCTGGAATTATAAAAATATATATTTTAATTGTTATTGGTTGGAGTTTCTTTCATACGTAATGGTTTCTTCAATAATTGAAGTTGGATTTGTGCAGCCCCACAGGACGTGCCCAGACTGGCCAGGACAGAACAGACAGTCATGGGGGTTTTAACACAGATTTTCTTTTTTTATGGGGGGGAATAAAATGAGAGATAAATGGACCTGCATGTAAACTTTTTCATGTGATACAACTGCAGTTTTATTAAGTGACTTTTTAATTCCAAAATTTATTAAAAGACAGTGTTCCCCTTTACTTGTTCTCTATCTTTATATACATCTCTTGATCTAACACTATTTATTACTCCTTTTCAGTCATGGTTGCCCTCACTTTACCTTCATGCAATGCATTTTTCAACTCTTCAGGGAGCATTCACTTGAGTTAAGCGTGGTTTTATAAACCCATTTTTAATATGGTCAGGAGCTACATCAGAAGAGAAGGAATATATTCCATATTGAATCTAGAGAAGGAGTATATTCCATATTGAATGTAGAAGAAAAAATCTAGAGAAAGGAATATATTCCATATTGAATGCAGAAGAAAAAATCTAGAGAAAGGAATATATTCCAT